AGTTTTGCGGTGCAACTCACAGTGGTGAGTTGCCACAGCAGGGTCAGGGACTGTATGCAAACAAAGGGTAGGTTTGAAAACATCTTAGTGGGGGACCTTATGTATATGGATTGCTTATCTGGAAGCAATGTCTGCTTTTGATATTAAATGTGTCTCCAGTTCTCAAAGATTTCAATAGCTCATAGCCTTAGACAGTCTTTTAAAACCTTTATTTCTATGTGGCAAGACTTTCATACAATAAATTTTATCCAATATTACAACATTAACTTTTTTTCATCTTCAAAATGCCTCTTTTTTTCAGATTACATATTTCAGTCTATGGTATTATAATAAGCAGAATCAGCGCAGATGGGTAGATTTGGACAAGCCTCTGAAAAAGCAGCTGGATAAATATGCCTTGGAGCCAACTGTGTATTTTGGAGTAGTCTTCTATGTGCCTACTGTTTCTCAGCTTCAGCAGGAGATTACCAGGTAAACTTCACATATGTGTCTGTAAATTTGCTTTCAGCATTCTGAAATGTATGGTAAATTTAAAAATTGTCTACTTGGGCCTCCCCCCAGCTCCATAGAAATGGAAACTATGACTTTAGGCAGAATTTATGGTCGAACTGTGTGTTTATTTCCAGTTAAAATATTTAAAATATGTGATAAACTAAGCAAACAACTTACTTTTAGGTGATCTTAGGAATCTATTCAAGCCTCTTTTCAGTAACAGGCATACTTGTGTGGTCAGACTTTTGTTTTAGTGTCTTCATGTTTATCTGTTGTTGTTTTTTTTTGCTTTGAAGATGTGTTGCTTTTGTGGACATCCATCCTGCACAAAGCACGTGCAGATTTTGTTTGAGCTCTGCTTGCCTTTATTCTGTTTTCAGTACTTTCTGTACTTTCAGTGCAATACATTGGCAAACCATAGGCTAAGCTCCAGCTTGTGATTTATTTATTTTTTTATGTACCACTGGACAATAAAGGTGGATCTTATCTTTGATTTCATATATCCATTTCTACTGTGAATCTGGGGAACATCACATAAGCGGTGCTGATTACAAGGGAAAAGTAAAATTAACCATTTATATTGGCCAGTTACTACTGTGGGCCTGTACCCAGGCTTCTAGTGTCTTAATGTGTATAGTTTTTCTTATTTAATTATTATTTTTTAACAGGCAAATGAATGCAAAACCAGTAATTGGAGTACAAAGATATATTTGTAATTTCAGAAGTACGTGCTTGTGTTAACAAAGCCATTTTGAGCTGGTAACTTCAAGTTGGCCCTCTTCTGAGTGGGGAGTTGAACGAGGTGACCCAGTACTGAAGGGTCCTTTCCAGCTTAATTTATTCTGTGGTTACATTAAACAGTCTTCATACACTGTGGTGCTAAAATGCTTTGCCAGAGACCTTTCCCACTAATTGTGTAAAAGCTTTCCAGGGAGATAAGCCTCTTGGTGCAGACACTGGTGCTGTATGAAATGCTCAGTGCCTGGTAGTTTTATGTGCAATTTTTGTAAGTTTATAGCTATTCTGAATAACTTTTGGGCTTTTCTTTCTTTTTTCTTTTTTCTTTCCTTTGGGGTTTAACTTTTGGGGTTTTCTCAGATATTTTACTGACTCAAAACATCATTCTAGTGGTCTTTTTTTTTAAATAAAAAAACCAACAAACCACGTTTGGTTCAGACTCAGTGCTTTGTTGGAGTACTAGGATGCATTAGAGTAAAATAAACATAACGTTGTTGCGTTGAATAGCTAAATTGCCTGAAAAACCTTGAATACTCTTCACTGCATTTAATTAAAGAATCTGATGCTTATGCAGGAGCTTTAACTGCAATGTTGCAGTGTGGTGCCTTGTAGAAAGCAGGAATTTATGTGCCAACCTTAAACTCAAGTCCTAAGGGAATGGTACTTACTTTTATGTGTGATAGTGAGATTCTGCATTATTTTCAGAAATCTGTGGACTTTTTCATGCCTTTTCAATATAAATGAGATTATGTTCAAGCAAATTTAATGTATACTAGGAAATGGACATGTCATAGACAAAAGAGGTAGTGTTTGTACTATTGTGAGGTAGCGTCAAGATTCTTTTGGTAGCAGTTCTATGGAAAGAGCTTTTGTTGTTCTGCTTTACTCGAAAGATTTACTTCCCCAAATGCCTTGATATGTGGTGGCTTTTTCCTTTTCTTTATTTTGAGGCCTGGGTATAGTCCTAGCTGTTATGTGTGTTGTGGATGTTATCTACTTTCACCTGGCATACTGTTTTTTTTGTATTAGGATCCAGGAGAGTCTAATCAATAGATATAAAGTGTCACTGCATTTAGCAGACTGTTAACTAATTAAAGAAGAGAGCCATCTTTTAGCCTGTTGAAAATTTGTGTGGAGTTTACTTGGTCTTTCTAATCATTGAATGAATCGCAGCACATACTTCCATGTTCTCAGTCTTTAAGCCTTGCTTCACAAGATTTAACATACAATATGAGGAAGTTAAGAAGCTTTTAAAGCTAGACTTGAGGTGTTTTAGGCTGAAGATAGCAAGTTCCATGGATGGGTGAACGGGGTAGGAGAATTTAAGAAAACAGTGGTCCAGAAAATAGTATAGCTAGTAGTGGTTGCATGTACAAGAGCTGACCCATTAAAAGATCAGATTAAAGAAAAAAAATAGTGCCCTGAGAGGGAGAAAAAAAATGTATTCAGAAGCTATAATGCAGAAATGAAAATCACTGTTGTGATTGCAGTGATGTGCAACATTACAATACAACAGCAGTGCACTGTACATTGTAAAGAGGAGTCAATATGAATATTAAAGAAGGAAGAGGTAAAATTAAGAAATTTATGAGGGTATGGTGGTAGATAGAAATTACTGAGATTTTTTTCTTTGAAGAGGTAGCAACATTTTGATCCTGTAGTGATACATGAAAGCTAAGGAATGAGTTAGCAAAGGCCATGACATAGTGGGTCTAAATAATGAGGAAGACAACCCTCCACACAAACTCCACAAGGGGAATGCAGAGAGGAATAGGAAACACAGGCATATTCATCTGCACTCTTTTTAAATTAAGAATCCCAAGTTGGCTTTTCTTTTTTTTCCTGTGTAGGTATCAGTATTATTTGCAATTAAAGAAAGATATCTTGGAGGGCAACATTCCATGCACACTGGAACAGGCAATACATCTGGCTGGTTTAGCTGTTCAGGGTAAGTAAGGCAACTGTGCCAATTAGGTAATGTTGCATTAGAAACTTAGGTGATACATTTTCTATTGCATGTTTTCTATTTACTGGTCAAAGACCAAATTCAGTAATAAAAGGCTTTCTCCACACAACTTCATAATTTGAGCTGAGGTGGGGGAACAGTGGCGTCAGTGGCCCTGAACTTGCAGGTATTTCTGTACAGTCTTCAGAGGTACATCTGGGTATCTAACCTGTATTTTCAGGAAGAAGGTTTGAATTAGACAGTGGATTTCCTCTGGGGGCAAAGGTTTTAGTCACCTGCTTAAATCAACAGGCTTTGCCTCTGTTTCTGTTAATGAAGACTTTATTCTGACACAGTAACAGAATCCAAGTTTTAATAAATAAGCAAATTTGACTGTACACTAGTACTTGTATCTCCACTTTTTGTCCCAAATATCTAACACCTGAATTATTTCAAGTTCATGTGCAAGACTGCTAACAATTACTGTGTTCAAATCACTACTCAAGACCCATGAAAATAGCTGCTTATTTTTCCTAACTGGGGTCAGCTGAGATTGAATATACACTGGAGAATCACCAGTCCTAGTTCTGTCTGTGCTGATCATGTCTGGTGTTCCCTGCTAACGTGCTTGTTCAATCTTAAATCTCCCAAAAGTTTTTCATGGCAACAGTTTTGTTTAGTGTGTTTATATATTTCTTCACAGTGAATTCCACTCCAGTATATTCAACAGCAGCTGTAAATCAGCGAAAATTGAAAGGGACATAAAATAATTGGCAATACATCCAACTTAGGGGTTTTTGTCCTTTTTTAATTATGTATTTGTAATATTAGATTAAAGATGATGATTATGTGTTTTGAAATGTGGTTACCAGTGGAGTAGAGTGAATTATATTAGTACCTTGTTTATGTAACAGTGAATCTGTTTAATCCAAGCTAGGATTTAATGGTCTTCAACTGACAAAATCTTACTTTATTATTTTCATATCTTTAGAGCGGGTAAATGTCGCTTTGCTCAGTGAGTTGTTTATAAAAGTCTTTCAATATAACCCTCTTTCCACATGGAAAATATTTATTCTTTTAGTTTTCACATTCCTTATTTAGTCTTGTCTAAGAGAGAAAGGCTATGTGTTGATAACAGTGAAAAAACAACTCAGGAAAAATGCAGATTCTAAATTAATGTGCACTGATAACTAAAGTAGCTCTGATAACTGACCAGGTAGGTTAGTTAACTTTAGCTGGTGGATGAACAAAGCAGTTGTTTGCTCTTTTGAGTGAACTGGTTTCAAGAATTCTCTGTATTTTAAATAATTACAATAGGCTAATTCTAAACTCTGCTTTATCTCAAGTGCTGTGTTGGTGTAGCATGTCAAAAGTTCTCCCCTTTCAGCATAAATAACTTGCATATTAACTGCTAATGCTTAATACAGGTTTGGTTCCTAAATATCGCTTGTATTATACTATTATGGATGAGAAACTGTGGTAATGTAAATAGAATCTACATACTTGTGTTTATATTTTTGAGAGCAGCTGTTTGGTACTGACTTGTTCCACAGTTTCTCCTGAGAGACTGGTATGTAACTTTTCCAATAAACCAATGACTGGTTTATTTCTCTTCTTTGAAATGTTGGCTAGTTATTTCATGGAAACAGAAAACCAGGCAAATTCCTTGGGATGCCCTCTGGCATGATGTTAAAATCAAAACTGTTATTTTTGATCAAGGCTATTATTAAGTACCTTCTGAGTATGCCTCTGAGTCTAGGAAGGCTTCTAGGTCCCACTTTCTGCATGTTTGGGTGCAGGGAGCTGTAGAAGGCTTGAGAGCAGCAGGATGCCCAGCTGCTTTGTGGAGTGTTTGAGTACAGCTGCAGGTTAGAGCAGTCTCCTGGCACTATACTGCAAGTAATCTCACAGGAGGAAGTAAAGAAGAAGGAGCCAGACTCTTCTCAGGAAATAAGCACATATTGAAATACAGGAAAGTTTGTCTAAACATAGTAAAAGTTTTCTGTTGTATGAGTGGTGAGACATGGGAACAGGTTGCCAGAGAAGTGTGAAGTCTCCATCCTCTGTATTCAAAACTTGACCAGGGAAGGCTCCAGGACAATCTGCTATAGCTCACCTTGCTAAGGGCTAGATCTCCAGGAGCATCTTCCAACTTCAACTATTCTGTGATTAAAAAAAAACAACAACAAAGAAAAGCCCAAGGGACTAAGGAACTTCGAGCAATACTGTGATTGTTTTATTGATTCTTCTCCTTTCCTGTCCCCAGGAGTGTTACTAATTTTCCTGAACAATACAGTAATATGGGTTGTGGGTTTACTTTTTCATAAACATTACTGGTTAGTTTGTTCCATTGTTTTACTTTCAGATCATAATTCAGTAGGATGGACATTTGCTACTTGGAGATCCTGCTACAATTAATTGATTATTGAATAATTTTGTTAGAAATGTTTGAATACAGGAATTTTTTATTTTATTTTTTTTTAGCTGATTTTGGAGACTATGATCAGTATGAATCTCAGGAGTTTCTGCAAAGATTTGCTTTGTTTCCAGTGGTAAGTACTTACTTTAAATTAATAAATATAAATGATAAATATTTATTTAGATTGGTAAATGCGAAGAATTACTAAAGACTCCAGGCTCTATCTGGCTTCCTGCTCTGTAGATTTTCAAATTCAGTAAAGGTTTTATTTTGAGGCTGGAGTAAGGTATGATACCTGATATTGCACAAAACAATGATGTTGCAGGATATTTTCAATTTTGTTCTATATTTCACTGAAAAGAAGGTGGGGGTGGAGATGGGAAAGTGAGTAAAACTACTTCAAAACAGCATTTGCGCTTTTTGGGTTTTTTTGTGTGCACATTGCAGCATCTAAGATCCAAGGCTAGAGCTGAGCGTTGATTCTCTTGTATAAAGAAATTATAACTATTTAATTTTGTAGAGTTTTAAAAAATTTCATTCTATAAATACTATCTTACCCTAAGGGCTGGCTACAAGAAGAAAAAATACTGGAAGAAGCAACACAGAAGGTTGCTTTGCTACATCAGAAGTACAGGTAAAATTTTTGAAATTCTTAATTACTTAATTTTGATGTGATTGCTTCAGTAGCTCAGGAAGTTGGGATTCTTAGAAGACAGTTGGACTAATTTCACTTCCCATTGAAATGAGTTTATCACTGAAAAGTCTGCATTAAAATTACAAGAATTTTTGCTGAATTAAAGTGAAAAGAGGACAGAATGTCAAAATAAATGAGAGGGTTCTGCTTGAAAATTAAGAATACACAACATGATTAAGTAGTGTGAATTCAGCTGTATAATGTTTCTGATGCTTGTTTATTTGAAATTATGACTCCAATAATCATGCTTCTTGATAAACAACCTTGGCAGATACTGAAGGCAGTTGAAATGTAGTCATTTACTTTTCAGAATGCTTAAGAGCATAGAATCATAGTATGGTTTGGGTTGGAAGAGACCTTAAAGATCATCTAGTTCCAACTCTCCTGCATGGGAGGGGACACGTCCCACTAGACCAGGTTGTTCAGAACCCCATCCAGCCTGGCCTTGGAACACTTCCAGGGATGAGGTTTCCACAGCTTCCCTGGGCAACCTCTTCCAGTGTCTCACCACCCTCATGGTAAAGAATTTCTTCCTAATATCTACCCTCTTCCAGTTAAAAAATGTTACACCTTGTCCTGTGACTACATGCCCTTGTAAAAAGGGCATGAACGTAAGTAAAAGGTACCCAAGATGTAGTATTCCAAGACAAGGGAAGGTTTAAGTTCTTTGTTGTCAGTTCATCATTGAAAAGTGTTTGTGACTATGTGAGTATTATTTATTGTGTATATTGGTTTTTTAAAAGTTTAACAATTCAAATAATTTTATCTTTGAAATTTTTTCATTACAAGACTGCATAGTTCAACAAAGAAAACAATCTGCATGACATTAGGAAAAAGTGAGGAAACAGAGATTGAGGGTTGAAAAAGTATTAAGAGACCTAAGAATGAGCGTGACAGGATTCTGCTGGTAGAGATAATGTCTTTTATGTGACTCTACTGCAAGTCTGTGAGAAAACTGTCTTTCCCAGTTGGTCTACTTAAAAAAAAACCCAACAAACAAAACAACAAAAAAACCCCCTTTACCTACAGATCTTGTTTTCAAATCATTACAGTTAAAACTGTGTCAGCATTTAGAGAATGAGATTGTCTTACCTAAAATGTAAAGCATCAAACTTCATATCTTCAATATGTATACTGCAATAGGAGAAATGCTAGCGTAGTTATTCTGATAATGTGGTGACAAGGAGAATGTGATAATTGTCTGCCATTAGCAGAGGTGATTATTTTCACTGGACCATGTTGCCCCTAGAGATGCCTGAGAGAAAGAAGTTACTAGAATCAAAGGTTAAGGGCCAAGACAATGGCTTAGCCATTGGCACAGATGAAAACAGCATGCTTTGATGGTTGCCTGGATGTCTTGGGGATGCTTTTCAAGTTTTGTCAGTGTCAGTCAGAGTAAAACAAAGATGATTTTTTTCTTACTGACAGTACTAGATGATCGTTGTTTTCATTTGTAGAGGCCTTACTCCTCCTGATGCCGAAATGTTATATATGCAGGAAGTAGAAAGAATGGAGGGCTATGGTGAGGAGACCTATCCTGCAAAGGTAAACAGGGCTTTGATTTTTGTCTCAGATGCCTTTTTTTTCCCTATGTAAAAAGCGTTGCTTCCTGCCAGAAAGAAATACAACTAAAAAATCACACCAGCCCTTTTTTTGTCCCCCAGAATTGTAAGAGTTGTTGCTTCTCGTGTAACTTTGCTTTCAAAGACCTTTTTGTCCATTTGCATAATTTTTTGCAACTTCTTACAGGACAGCCAAGGCAGTGACATATTCATTGGAGCATGTCTTGATGGTATCTTCGTAAAACACAAAAATGGTCGTCCTCCTGTTGTCTTTAGGTTAGTATTGTTCTTCCTATGAATCCCTCTGTGCCTTTCAAATTTTATGTATGTTTTTTGCTAGCATAAATGAATGTTAGATATTACGTGTATTTATTAATTTGATAAGCCTGAACGTAGTCTTGTGGTCCTCAGGCTGCAGTGAATACTGAAGTCCATGTGAGTTTTTCAATGTATTGGCTACAGGATGAACCTCTTTAAGCCAGATTAATTCTAAGAGATGAACATGTAATATACATTCAATTACAAAACATTTATTAAGTCAAAAAGGAGAAATTCTTTGCACATAGAACATTTTAAGTCCTGAGATGAGCACATCAATTTACTTAGAAATGTTTAGTTGTAAAATGATACACGAGTTCTCATATACATAAAAGAAATTGAGGAGAGTCACACAGTAAAATTTATTTTATTATTTTGAACTAATACATTGTTTCAGTTTGTTATTTACTGTGCTGATAGTTACATTGTAGACATAGGCATGTCAGCTACTTAACTAACAATAACAGTGTTCACATTACTAGATGAGTACCTGGTTCCTGC